CACGTCACAGCATTCAGGCGGCACGGCTTTGCCCACTGGCTCATCACGGGCATGCGCCAGGCTGGAAGCTCTCAGAGGCAGGGCCGTGGCACTGTTGCTCGCGATGGCGTCTCGGACACTCAGTGCAGCACCTGACTCATAGCAGGAACACAGCAGGCAGTTGTCCAATGCATGGATAAGTGCTGTCCCCTCTCTGACTTGCAACAATGTGTTGGAGCCCTTGCGCGTTCTTTCGGTGTAGGGACCAGGTCCATGTGGACTCCTGAGCCCCTCAGGACCCCCACTAGGTGGGGCTGTGGAAGGGAGGCTTTGTGAACGCATGCTGATTCCTCCGTTCACTGCGAGGGTGTCTGCAGAGGCCTGACGCAGACTGGCAGGTTTCTAAGAAGACGGGGCTGCGGTCCGCACCGCACATCAGAGGGACGGGAGGCACGGCATGAGGTCAGGAGAGTCGATCCGTATTGCTGTCACTAGGACACATCCGCGGTTGCTCAGATGCGATGGGAATCTCACTGGCTAACGTGGCAAATTCTCCCCCTGGCAGGAGGGCCTGAGTCTGCTGGTTGCCTGTGGCAGAAACTGGCAGAACTCGGGCATCCTGGGCACAGCTGTCAGCGAAGAACAGAGGTGGAGGTGGGTTTGTGAGGAGGGAGGACCTTGGGCTCGGCCATCCTAAGGGCTTGGATCAAGAAAGAAGGTAAATGACGGTGGGCCACAGCCAGGAGGTAGCACGCGCCGTCTGGGTCGCGGGAGACCGGGGGCCAGCTGTCTTTGCTCCCTGTACTTGTTAGCATGGTTACCTCACTGTCTGCTCCAGGTCGCTTCTTGTTAACACTCGGGAACTTCTCGGGCTCCGATGTGGCTCGTGAGTGGCAGTTTGTGATAGCCACCGATAACTGTGCAGGACCAACGGGGTCGAGCCTCCGAGAGTCTCTGCTTTGTGTACAGGGGATGGGGACGGGTTGGGCACAGGGAAGGTACACATCACACACATCCACGTTTTACATTTTTTTTCCTATTAAAAATCAGAAGCGAATATCTGAGATGTTGCACTGGGGAGGACTCGACATCTTGCTAAAAATGCATCACCTCAATCAAGTCCCGAGAAGCCATCAGATCCACACACAGGGAGGGACACGCTACCAAATACACACGGTACTCTTCAAAGCGGTCAAGGTCACGGAAGACAAAAAGACAAACAAAAGACTGAGGAACCCTCACAGATCGGAGGGGGACTCAGGAGGCAGGACAAGGAAATGCAGTGTGGGATCTGGGCCAGAATAAAGGAGAAAAATTGGAAAAACAAGTCTTTAAGTTAGTCAATGGCATTGCATCAATGTTAATTTCCTAGTGTCAATAACTGAACTAGAATACATTTAAAATGTTGACATTAGGGGTGGACACCAGATGGAAACTTGATGCACTATTTTTGCGATTTGTTTGTAAGCCCTAAAATGATTTCGACATAAAAAGCTGTAAACACTGGGGAGGTTGGTTAAAATAGGATTTCTTTTATGCTGGTATGAAGACGAATAAGAGTATGTTCTAAGTACTCTCTGCACAATGCCTGGTGCATAGTGAGCACTTAACAACTATGAATTGTTATTTAGAAATGATCTGAAGTAGAGGCTTGACGTACCGCAAGTCAGCGGGGCACGGATCATTCAGTTTACCCACTAGAAGCTGGCAGTGAAGGCTGGGTGTCTGTTTTGACTGGGTCCTCACATTATCATCCAGGTGTGGTTAGCGAATTTTTTTCCCTTTCAAGCGCCAGTACTTAGGAGAAGAGACGTTCAAGGTTTTTGTCTCTGTAGGAGCCAGGCTGGCATCGGGGGGCTCAGGTCCACATTGGGGATCCTTGATGGGAAAGCAGTGTGCCAGAAGCTGGCGTGGCTGCTGCTCGCGAAAATAATACTCTCCTGATAGGCAAATGTGTGGCGATGTAGGCGGTATTGATATTTCCTATTGATTACAGTTTGCTTTTTGATTTTGACATTGTTCCTTTTAAGATAAACTTATGTATGTCAAGATGCTGAGCTGACTTTAAGAAATATGTGCCCTGGCCGGTTTGTCTCAGCAGTTAGAGCGTCGGCCTGCGGTCCAGAGAGACCCGGGATCGGTTCCCGCTAAGGGCATGTACCTCGGTTGCGGTTTGTCCCCGGCCCTGGTTGGGTCGTGCGGGAGGCAACCCTTGATGTGTCCCTTTCACGTCGATGTTTCTTTCTCTCTCTCTCCCTCCCCACTCTATCTGAACAAAAAATGGAAACATGTCCTCGGGTGAGGATTAAAAAAGAAAAATGTGAGCCTCGCTGGCGTGGCTCAGTGGTTGCGCGTCGACCCATGTACCAAGAGGTCGCCAGTTCGATTCCTGGTCAGGGCACATGCCCAAGTTATGGGCCCGATCCCCAGTGGGGGGCGTGCAGGAGGCAGCCAATCGACGTTCTCTTTCATCAATGTTTCCCTCTCCCTTCCCCTCTCTCTCTAAAAGTCAATAAAGGCAAAAATTAAAAAAAAAAGAAACATGTTAAGTAAATACTAATACTGATGGCCTAGGAATCTGGCAAACATCAGAAAGGTGGGACATGAAAGAGCACCGTTTTGGAAAGAAGGGCTTAGAATAAGAAGAAAGTGTTGTTAACGAAGTAGCTTAAACTGTGTCCATCTCAGAAATACCAAGGAAGAAACATCGCTGGGGCAAGGAGCTAGACGCGGACTCCTAACGCCGTGAAGCCACCTTTGCCAAGAATAAACGGGGAAACAGGGAGAAAGCAATTTTATTCTTTAAACGCTTCAATTTTGTCCGCCGCATGCATCGACAGCTAAATGAAAACGTCCAAGTTCAAGGGCCGACTTCAGGAACAGCTCCCGAGGATGCAGGAGTGACTGCTCTTAACAGCCATTCGATATCTGTTTCGTGAGGATCCATTATGCTCCGTGGCTAATGCACTCTCGGAGGGCACGCCCAGCCACGGCGCAGGTGGCGAATGCAAAGCACCCCGCGAGCCTGAGCAGCGACATGCGCACCCCATTACAGATCCATAATGCAGAGTGGCCGCCCGTCCGCAAATGGATTTAGAGAGGAGAGTTCTTAAATGGCTGGGGTACTTAGGGCTGAAAGGCCAGTGACTGGATGTGCAGCTGGAACACACGTGGTTTTCAGGATTAATAATGCATCGATGTGCGTCAGTTAATATGCATTCACGGCTCCCAGCCCGTGCAGCTGAGTCCTCAGCCCATTTGCAGGGGCACATTAGAGGACTGTTCCGTCTTCCGCTCATCAATGCCTTCGCTCCCAGGAAAATTAGATTACGCAAGAACAGCCATTCCAATGAGATTGAGGTTTTCTCCCCTTTAAAGCCTTCGCCAGGAAAAGCACTGGGCATGGTGACGGGGCGTGTCGTCCGCCTACCCCTGCAGGGCCCCTCGGAGCTGGGCTCCAGGCTCCACAGTCCACTTGGGGAGGTGTCCCCATGCCACTGGGCAGAGCGTGCTAAGGTGAGACACGGCCAAGAGACCTGTCTGGTGGCTTCATGCTCTCTCTCTCTCTCTCTCTTTCTTTTTGGACATATCCCTTATTTCGCAACGTGGGATCAAGTCATGCGCTCTTTTCTTTTAGCATCTGACAAGCTCACCAAACCTGTCACATTCTTGTGTGTCATTTAGGGATGAGCCTGACGCACGTGCCACCACATTCTGACTGCAAGTACAAAAACGTCCCCTTCACTGACCCGTCAGCATTCAGAAGGATGGGCATCGCAAGTCCTTGAAATATCCTGAATATGTGAAATATGCCCCCCCCGCCTCAACTTTGGTGAGCATGGGTCAAAGGAGTGGCACCCTTTAGCATTTCTGGAGCAGCTATACTCACTGTCGGAACCTCAAGGAAGGATGGTCTTTAAATAAAGAGCACATAAAAGTAATGAAAAGGTTATATAAATATATAAAAAGGTAATATGCACACATTAAAAAGTGATGAGCAGTAAATCCTTTGAGGGCTCACCGTGCGCTAAGCTGAGGGCTTTGGGTGTGCTATACCATGCTCACAACGAACTTAGGAAGGGACTCCCCACTTTTCCAGAGGAGGAAACCGAGATGCAGAGATGTTCAGTCACTTGCTCGAGGTCACAGGGATACTCAGTGGCCAAGCTGGGACAGGGACCCAGGAACGCCTGAATGAGCAAGGGCTCAGACCCTCTCCACCCCTGTTTTTCTATGACCTGTTGGTGGGTGGGGAATCAGCATAGTTTTAACCAGTACTTTAAAAAAAATGAAATAGGGTAGACTAGGAAAAAACAAACAAACAGTCAAGGTAAGTGTTGCTTTGTGATCGCTTTCTTTAATTTTTTAGCTGCGTCTCTCTAACTCAAGCACGGGTGCATGCGCCTTGCCTAAAAAGCGTGAGAAGTTCTGCTCTCCACTACACTCGAGTCTGATTGCACCCCTTGAAGGTCGCGCTCAAGGTCTCTTGCAAGCTGGGCATGCAGCCCCCAAGTCCCCCGTTCTTATGAGAGTCATTTTATTTCTTATATTACCTTTACCCCAAGAACCCCAGAGCCCCAGCCATTCTGTGCAAAGCAGTGTGGCAGTGCAGATAAATTAATAATACAATTTAAAACCGATTCCACGAAGATAAATAGCACTTCCTAGATTAAGAGCATAGCTGGCCAGAATGAATGACATTTACTAACCCTGAGATGCTTAATCTTCCATTACGTAGAAGCTAATGATGATAAGAAAGGAGTGATGGTAATTCACTTCGGCTTTTACGGGAAATCCAACCATCTCATTTTTAGCAAATCTTTCTTCTCGGCACACCTGGGTGCCAAGGATGACCGCCCCGCTCCTATAGGTACGTTGGCCAATTGTCATCTATCAAAGCCTCCTCTTCGCCAAAGGGGTAGGACTTCCAGCGTGCACGGGCTTACAAGAAGCCCCCGTGGGATTTGCCGGGGAGGCTACTTTCTGTTTTCCAACCACAGCAAGGAAACAGGGGCAACTACCTTTGGCACAGTCGGCTCCTAGGAACCCAGGGAAGCAGTGGCACAGCCCGGACACACACTCTCCGTTTCCGTGGCAGTTACGTGGGCAGTCCTGCACTGAATCTGCAAGAGACAAATACACATTTAGCAGTTACCGCTTTCTCTGCCTGCTGGTGCAGCGATGCAATAATCAGCCATCTCCCATTTTAAGGACCATGATAGTGACCTCAGGGACCAGTGGGGAGGAGCATGAGTGAGCGAGAGGAAGAGATGAGGAGGCGGTGGGGACTCAGGCTACTTGGACAACGCGGGGTAGTCACCACCGCTGTCCATCTGCCTGGCTCAGGCAGGAATGCGGGGCTTGTTGTGCTGGGGTTTTGGCTTTTTCAGAAGACACTACTCATCTGGATACACAACCTGAAATGTCTCATGTTTGAATGCTGACAAGTTTTAAACACTGTGAGCTGCCTCCCCTCTCCCGATGTCTTCCTGCCAACCTGGGAGCTGTACAGAGGGCATGAGCTTGTAGCCTCAGGTGTAGAGGGTGATTCTCCAAATGACAGCGGTTGTTCCTGATCTCAGGTTTGTCAAGTATAAATATTCCCTGCGGTAAGGGATTTCAACAGGGGAAAAACCCACGTACGTGACACTGATCAATTCAGGCACGATGCTGGGGTTCGTTAGGTAGTAGGTTTTGGGTTATACGAAAATCCCTTTATGCCTGGCTTTTGTGGATCTTATTTTTCATGAAAATCAACGAGGCCATGTTTGTTGACCTGGATGGCTGTCCATCTGACTTCATGATTTATCTTTCCGTCTGTACTCTCAAGGAATACCTTCAGAGGGGTCACTTGGAACTTTTTCATGTTGATTTGGATCTGTACAGAAACGTACGTATTCTTTTAAAGTTATGATGATCCTTGTTTTACCTTGAATTAAAATAAACCGACTTCTCAGTTCCAAGTGACTAAGATGATGAAACAAAACATACAGGCCCCCGTGCCCCAAGTGTGACATGACACAGCCCTTGGGGAGTTGGGGACATTGATTTGGTGATGGTGCATGAAAGATTCTAGAGTCTAAGTGGAGTCACCGGGGATGAAAAGGAGCTTTTTCCCTTTCAAATAAAATTCCTATTCCCATCCCGGGCTGAAAAACCTAACCGTGCGGTAGGGCTTTCTGTAGTTCCTCGCTTCTCGGCTCTCGTAGGACACGCGGACATGTTGGATTTTATTCTGGGACCGAGGGGAACAGATGAGAAGTTTTCAACGCAGGAGCGGCAGCATCCAGCTTGTCTTTGAAGAAGTCACTCCTGCAGCGAGGCCGAGATTGGTTCTCATGGAGCATCTGGGTCTGGGAACGATTTGGTGGAAACTGATGTCTCCGGGGCTAAGGGTCCCTTTCCTGAAACCAAACCGACTTCAGAGACAAAGCAGCGCAGATCCTGGGAGCTCTCACCCCCAGAGGCCCACGCCAGAGGACACGGTCTTCGCACAGCCCCGCGCTGGGCTGGAAGGCCCGCCGTGCCCTTCACCTGGGCGTTGGATCCTTCAGTCGCTGTTTAGAAAAAACACTCAGCTCCTCCGTGTCTTCCTTCCTCCCTTCCCTCGGCCTGGGTTTTGTATCCATCTCAGTGTCTTTGTAATTCTTATAATTGCCTCTTTACGTCCCTGTCTTCTCCGATCAAGCTCCCCGGGGAAGAGGCCGGATGGGAACTGCTCTCGTACCCGCCGCGCTCAGCTGGAAAGTGGGCGCACGCGCGTGTGCACACACCTGTCCTCAGGAGGGTCGAAGGCTCCAGTACAAGCAGACATTGTAATGAAGAGCATTTTTCACTTAACACCATTCAGTGAAACAGCTCTTCTATTTGAAGCCCTTCTACAGTTTTTGAGGGAACACAATTGTGCCATCTTGCTGAAATATAAAAGGAGTCCACCCTCTTTAGTCCCCTTTCCACTCAAACGAAATGTTACTGTTGAGACATTATCTGCTTTCCTTTTTGTCGACATGGCGTGAAGTTTCCCGAGGAAACCGTGGCAGGTGATGGGAGGATGCACGTGGGGGCCGGCCCCCCTAAGTCCGCGTCTCTGCTGTCCCCGGGAGGACGCGTTTCTGAAAGCAGCCCGCTTCTCTCCAAAATGCACCTCGAGACTTCCCTGAGACAAAGGTATATTTAGCGTGATCGCCGGTTGACACCCGCCTAACATTTTCCCTTCTGTTTTCCATCCCCGGGATGTTCGGCGCTGCTGGCTGCCCCGATGGGGAACGTTCCCATAATAGATACGTGTGGGAGAACCTCTGGACCAAATGAAACACTGTTCTCTCCCCTGTATTTTGGGCCAATCACTATCATTGCCCAACTATTAGGCCCATTACCTTTGACTTTCTCTCTGAGCTACAGTCCCGAGGAGAGAATTCCTCTGGGGAGAATTGCTATTCCCAGCTCCACTGGGCGGCCGGGGAGGGTAATGGCCGGGGGGAGGGCAGCTCACTAGGCGACGTCTGGGTCTGTGCGGGTAAAGAAGTTGGGGGTAGGAGTCGTTATGAGATCATCTGGCCCCCAGAAAACTTGCTGTGCAGGGGGAAAGGGATTCTTTGGCTGGAATGCAAAGTAATCAGTGGCTAAGGGCCTAGGCTCTGGACGGTTCAAATCCTGACTCCACCTCTTACCAAGTGTGTGAGACCTCAGGCACGTTGTTTAACTTCTCTGGGTCTTGGCTTTCTCCACTGGAACATAGAACATTGGCAATGCCACTGGTCAGCGAGTCCGTGGGCTGACCAATGCCACTGGTCAGCGAGTCCGTGGGCCGACGGAGCTGGTCCCCACAAAGGGCCGGTCCAGGGGCTGGTACAGTCACTGCTCTGTAAACATGTCGTTGTTGTTTTTGTTATGCACCGTTTCCCTGAGTCCTGTAGACTCCGACCAGGCCCGCTGTGGTTTGCGTTGTCACGTATGAGTTCAAACACGGTGACTAAAAGGGTAGAATTTCTCACTGTGTTCTTAAAGTGTTTTTTTTCAGTCTCCACATCTCAAACCAGTGTGATGCTATTGCCAGTGTCCTCCTTTTTGAGCTGTTTTTCATCCTGTTGCATTTCCCCCCCACGGGTACCAAACCTGATGCCGGAAATCCTCCCTGACTCTGGACCACATCTCCAGCGACAAAGTTTATGACGTTTTCTTAGGGCAGGGTTGGCATAGTTTGTCAGGAAAGGGACAGACAGTAAATATTTAGTCTTCGTGGGCCAAACTGTCACGGTTACAACTACTCTGTCATTTTAGCTGCCACAGACAATATATAAACAGATGAACATGGCTGTGCTCCAATAAAACTTTATTTATAAAACAGGCTGTGGGCCAGACTCGGCCTGTGGGCTCTGCTGTGCCAACTCCTGCCTTGCAGCATGTGGCGGCTCTGATAAGGCCAATCTTTCCTTAGCAGGGAATGAGGATGCATTTCAATCCCATCTGGTTTTGTGCCCCTCTGAGGTGTGGCCACTGAGGAGGGCTGCCTGGGTGTCCGACTGGCCTGCATAGATCTTTCAGGAATCAGGGAAGCCCTCAGAGAGGCCGACAGAGAAGTGTTTCAAAATCAGCCAGCAGGATAACAGCTGTAAAGACATACCCTTAAAGAATCACCAGCTCTCATGTAGGGACCACCAGGTCCCTCCCAGACATGTCCCATTCATGACCGTCCCCCCTCCATGGACGTGCTCGCTCGCTCTCCACAGGATCAGGAGGCGAGCGACTCTTCTAGGGAGGATGTGGGAAAGACAAGCGGGGACTTCATCCTGGATCGACCAGGCCTCTCCTCGTAAAACCACCTTATCTGGGCTTCTCCAGTGAACCTTGACATCTGCAAGGTTCTGTCGGGACAAGGTGCTGCAGGAAGGCCATGGCCAAAGCCCAGAAGCCCGTGCTGTTTCCACCATTTCCATATCCCAGGAACATGAGGGACTCCGTGGTCGGAACCTCCGTTTATCCCTCTGTGAAATGGGTCAACAATCTGCTCTGATTCAGCAAGGTTCTACCCAGGAGCACTTATTACCATTAATAAAAAGATTAAAACCTAGTGACAAAATGCATTTCGTGACAGTATCTGCAGCTTATTTGTGAAAATCCTTAGGGTTTGCTTTAGAAAACTTCATGAAATCTCAAACTAATGGTCCTCGTAGGGGTTTGTATGCACAATATAAGAAGAAAATTTGGATAAGACCTTAGCTTTTCCTTTGGCAGCTAATAAAAGGCAGGGCTAAATCAGGCCCCAAATGACAGGTGCTGAATTAAAGCATTTTGATATTTACCTACTTGGGAACAAAGTAATGATCTTTTGCTTATATCCGCATCTTCTTCCTGATTTATTTTTAAGTCTTTTTAAGCTTTGTGTTTTGAGCTTTCCTTGACTTTTTTTTAATAACCCTCCCTCGAGGATATGTTTTTATTGATTTTTAGAGAGAAGGAAGTCGGGGGGTAGGGGGAGATGTGCAAGAGGAACATCGACCAGTTGCCTCCCATATGTGCCCTGACCGGGGATTGAACCCGCAACCTAAGTATGTGCCCTGACTGGGAATTGAACCCACCACCTTTTGGTGTAGGGATGACACCCCAACCAACTGAGCGACCCAGCCAGGGCAAGTTTACCTCGATTACTAAGAGAAATTGGGCTGCTGTGAATGGTCAATATTTATTATCTCCACCACACGTTTTGAAATTTGTATGTTTTATCTTATTGACTCCTCATGACAGCCCCGGGAGGCGGGCTCTAGTTAGTTCTGTGTTGGGACGAGGACACTGAGGTTTCCACAGGCCCAGGGATCTGAGTTGCGTGGCCAGGACCTGGGCCAGGTGGGCTGTCCCAAGGCCGTCACAGCGGAGCCCTCGGCCCTCACCGTGAATCTCCCACGGTGTAGGCAGCACTCATACTTTAACCCGGGCTCATTTGAAGGGGGTGGTACTATGAGACCTCAATCAAGGTGCTGCTTTGGCCTTCCACTCAGCAGGAGCCTCCTTGGAGGAAGACGTGTCTTCTACAGAGAAGCCCAGATGTTTCCATCCTCCGTGACGCATCATCTCAGAGACCCCAGACCTACCTAAGACGACGGTGTTGAAGGAGACCATCTCTTTGTCTTTGCCATCGTTGTAGAAGGCCAGGTGCCACAGGCCCACGTCCAGGTACTGCACAAACACGGCCTCGTTCTGAACCAGGGTCTGGATGCTCCGGCGCTCCCTGGGTGACTCCACCACACTCCACTTCTCCTTGCCGTCCAGGCGCTCCATGAAGTCATACTAGGAGAACGAGAGTGATGCGTGACATTTGGTGCAGACTGGGTCCCACGACTGCCCCCCCATTAGTTATCTGAGAAATACTTCTCAGTACATTTTACCGTGAGCTCATGCAATAAAACAAGAGTCACACATGTCATCACAGTTGCCATTTACTATGCTTAGAATGACTGCCAATAGTTTTATTACTCAAGGTCACAATCTATTTTCCAGTTTTAAAACCCAAGTTTTGGGTTTCTTCTTCATTGTCATCATCTTCTTCCTCCACCCCCTGCCCATCCTCCACCTCTTTCTCCACCTGTGAAACTGAAAATCGACGTTACAGGATTACTGTGAGGAATATGATAATATTTAGAACAGTGCCCGGCATGGAGCAAACACAAAATAGATGTTAGATTCTATCATCATCATCTCATTCAATTCTTGCAAAACCCCTATAAGACAGGTGCTATATCGATAAGAAAACTGAGGTTCAGAGAAGTCATGCAATTTGTTAAAAGTCACACAGCAACTGAGTGGCCAAGCAAAAATTTGGACCTCTATCTGTTCAGCTGCAACATCCATGCCCTCACAGTGCCTGGCCTCGGAAAAACCAGCAATTAAATAGCTAACTGTGTCTCAGTGGGAACCAGGTTCAGAACTGGAAGCCATCCGTGAGAGATGGAGGGGTCAACAAAGGCTACCAGGATGGGGGGTTGGGGGTGGGGAGAGCAAGCGTGACTCAAGAGAGGCCTGTCGTAGAGAACAGTGAAATCCTGTTGTGGGCAAGTGGGAGCCACTGAAGACTCTTGAGCAGTGACTGATGCGATAAAAGGCATGTTTGGAGGCATTCATTTGTAGTCAGGATATGAGATGCTCCAGATGAGAGAGAGATTGGAAACAAAGCCAGGAGAGCAGTCAGGAAGGAATTGCAGAAACCTGAGTGAGGTGACATGGGTCTTGATTAGGACAGTGAATGGGAACAGGGGGCAGCTTTGGAGGAACATTTCTAAGGCAGAGAGGACAGTGCTTGACCATGGGCTGGACAGAACGGATGAAGGAAAACGCAGAGAGAACACCAGTGTTTCTTTCTTGCAGAGAAGAAAATTGGTAAGACCTGGGTAGAAATGGTTGTAAACTCTCTCAAAACCGCTGCAACCGAGAAGTCCTGTGTGTGGTGACTTTCGGAAGACATTCGACGTGGAGATCTTCAGCAGATAAACCCACCACTGTGGGACTCAGCTGCGTCTCTCCACTCGCCCTCCATAAAAAGGTTTTTGTAGGTTACAGACATCAGCTGGGGCCCTTTCGCGAACGTCGTAAAATGAAACTCCAGGAATCTACCAATGTGACTTTCCCATCATCAGAACTGCCGTTTTTCTCCAGCTGACATGTGATCATGGAAAATAGAAGAGTCTATAAGCTTAAGCACAAAGGGTTTGCCGTCCGACAAACCTCGGTGTGAATTCTGACTCTGCCACCTGCTACTGTTGGAAATTGGGCACATCCGCTTTTGCCTTCTTCTTGGTTTGCTTGCGAGGGACCAGGAACACCCCCTTTCTGGGATGCTATAAGGATGACATGAGGGAATGCTTTGGGCAGTGCCTGGAACATAATAACCATTTAATCAAGCGCCTCGTGAGTATGAGTCACCTACTAGCAAACCAACATCATCATCATAATAGGAAAAAAACCTCTCTAACCTAGTTTCTACATCTGGGGGTGGGGGCTGGGTAGTCACTGCCCAGGGAGTGGAAATTTCCCCCACTTCTTGGGAAATGAGGGTTTGCAATGAGCCCGTATCCCATTGGTCACGGCTGTCTTTAAGGAACAAAATAAATGATGTGAAGTGATATGACAGAGCGATGCTGCTTTCGGAGGCCCCTGTAACCAAAACATTTGTTCCTTAGCAACCTCGTAAATGTCCATCTACCAGGACCTGTGCCTACAAATTGCTGTCAGCCAGAGGAATGAGGGTAAGTTCCTGGGTGGCGAGGTGAGAAGAATATACTTCACTGGGGTCCAGGATATCACCCCTCTGAGGAAAAGTTGGGGAAGGTGATTACTGGGGAGGCTCTTTGCTCATTATTAATTTGGGCATCAGTCATCTGGTGTTGGGCTGGCTGACCGGCCAAGGGGCACAGAAACGGCTTAGGGCTGGCGGTCGTGCTCGCTGTCCAACCAATCCAATTACTCTGGGAAGAGGCATTTGTCAGAGGAGAGAGAGGACATCCATTTCGGCCGGCTCCTTAGCATCCCGCCACCAGAGCACGGAGGGTAGTTTTCATTTCCGCGAGAATCCGTGAGCCAGGGGCTCTCACACAGAGCTGGGGGACATAGGGGGCGATGACATGGTGGCGGATGCATCACTGGCCTGTGTCCTTTCATTGCGCATTTTTTTTCCAAAGCATGTATCACCCTCCGAAATGAGATACTTTGTTTTTACGCCCATTGCCCATCTACGCAGAAGAATGCAAACAAACTCTGGGAGGACGGGGATTTTGTCTGCATGGTACAGTGGTGAAGGGTGGGCACTTCAGAGTGAGGCTGCCCGGGTTCGAATCCAAGCTCTGCCGGTTGCTTCTGTGACACTTGCACAACCATTTAAATCCTCTGCGCCTCAGTCTCCTTACCTTCAACATGGGGCTTATAGTCACGTCTACATCAAACCACTGCTGTAAGGACTAAGCGAGTCCAGTCATAGAAAGTGCTCAGAACAGTAAGCGCTTCCTACGTGGGGAGCAGTAAGCCTAGAAGTTCCTGCGATCACGACTCTCATTCACGCCGCATCTCACTGAGCTCCCGCGGAGTCCGATCAACACGTATTTGTTAAATATCAAACAAATAAAACACCGCACTTGCAAATGAATTCCACTGAGAAGAAACGAAGTTGGAATTGTATTCAAGGTTCTCTCTCTAACGATAAAGACCGGGTCTCTAATTTTCGACTTTCTCGGTGGCGGTCCTGAACGGGGGAGCGAGGGCAGAGTTCCGTTCAGCAAGCCGGGTGACACCGCGCCAGCCCGGGGCCCAGGGTGCGTGTGCATCCGCGCGTATCCCCGAGACCGGACAGGTGCCTTCATCAGGCCTTGATGACTTCCCCTTTCCAATTCCCCGCGGGACGATGGACAATGCAGGCCTTTCTTCCTTCGGACTCTCTTGACTTTTTCCTCTTGTCTTCCTTCCCTTCCTCCTTCGACTCTGTTTCGTAGTGACCACTGTGGTAGCGACTGCTGGTCATGGTCCACATTGGGTCCTTTCCGGCCTCCTGGCTGCCAGCCAGAGCATGTGACGGTGTTCCAGTTAATGGGACACAGCTGTGGGGCGTACTCATTTCTAGGCCGTGCCAGCCCCCGTCCTGTGCGATCTCCCGCGGAGCACTCTGAAAGCCCACGATGCTGGTGCCACAAGAGAGAAGAGGCCTGGACCCCAGAATGAACACTCGGAGGAGAGCCTGAACTCGTAGCACGAGCGCACAGCGAACTCCGATCAAATCGAGCCACTGAAATGTTGAGGCTTGTTTGTTATCTCAGCACAGCCTTCTCAGAGGCTGACCTCCTGCTTCCCTCCTTTCCCAGTCCACTCCCCGAGATCCCAGGAAGCCCCAGCATCTTTTCCATTTCTCACTGGGTGGGAGAAGAGAGTCCCCAGGAAAGAACGGCAGCACCTGCTGTTGGTCAAGTTCCAACCTGTTACGTGTGGGGTGTCTCTGCAGCCCAGAGCCCCCAGGCACGGCCCAGTTTACGCCTCTGGTTCCTCCTTTCCCTCTGAGGAGGGCTCTGGTTTGGAATCTATCTTCACTCTGCTCACAGGTTAACACGCACCGGGCAGCATCATGCGGCCTCATTCACGGCTGCGGTACTTGGGGAAGGGTTGGAAGCTAGAAACACAAGGTGAGTCAGTCCCGCCAAAGGCAGGGACGGCTTCCAGGGCAGGGGCGCAGGAGCTCAGTGAGAAGCTGGTCTGCGTGGAGGCCATCTGGTCCGGGAGAGCCTCGGCTCGCTCAGATTCCTAGACGGCAGCTTGGCCTGCTTGCCTGGCAGCCTGGCTGGCACTCGAAGGAGGCCGTTTTCCAAAAGCTCAGGCCCTGGCCAGAGCTTCTTCTTTCTGCCCCAGCACTAGGGATGGATAACTCAGGCTTAGTACGAGGGACATCTGTCTCCTCTGTTCCAGAACCCCATCATGCTCAGTCCTGGACCCGGGGACGCTCAGGGGATGGTGCTGTGCTGGGCTGACTCAGCAGGTTGCTCCATAGCGCGTTCGACCTGACAGATGCGCAGAGGCCCTGGCAGAGGACGAGGGGCACGCAATCCAGTCCCAGGAGGGGACGGTGCATGCACGGGCGGGCTGCGGGGGGTCTTTCTCCCAAGGCAGCCCGTCTCTCTTGACTTGGCAATAGAGGCACGCAGAGGGTGACAGCGCAGCCGTCCCAAGTGAACACTCCCGCTCCCCAAAGTTCCCGTTTCCTCGGCCTTTGGAAAATAACCCATGCTGGCCTGCAGCGTGCGGGCTGCGCCTTCGAGTCATCAGTCATACCCCAAAGTGGCAAGAAAATGCAACTTTCATGAGCGCTGGAGAGGCACGGAAATAAACCACAGCAAATATTTGACTGATCCAATTATGACTCTCCCCCACTTTTTGGCAGAGACCGAGGGGGAATGGTAATTAAGATAATGTAGTGGGTTTCCAGAGGAGCTGGAAGAGAGAGCAGAGGAGGCCAGGCCGTTGAGCGGGGCCGCCACCTTCCCAGAAGGGAAAGCGCCCATGGGCAGGGAGCGTGCAGCAGAGAGATGCTTCTGGAAGCTGCTCTGATCCACGCCTGCCAAAGAGGGCAAGGTTACAGACAGACTCACTGCCCTTCAGGAAGATGTTATTCCTGCGCCCAGGACCTTGGGAGGGGGGGAAATAATTGCACTGCCACTTGGAGCATCTGCTGGTGAGGGTCCACATGGACGGGGAAAGCAATCAATGCTGACAGTGCCCACGGACATGGGATGTGGATTCTGCCTTGCGTGGCAGCACAT